TGTCTCGATTACTCATGAAACTTAACATGATGCGAATGCTATGTAAATGGCTGTTATACTGTACTGTTTAGGGAATAATGACAAGGAACAAGAGTCTGTACATGTTCAGAACAATTGTCGGTTGAATCCACAGATGCAGAACTCACAGACACAGAGGACCAACTGTGCGTGTCTTCTAGTTGTCAGGAAACACCCAAGGACATGTTCAAATAAAGGGCAAAAATGCTCGCTATTTTTTTTTTAATCCAAAAATTAGAGGCATATATAGGGTAAAAACCAGATGTCTCATTCCTTATCCAGTTCCACTTCCCAAAGATGACAATGGTCTGTTGTGTACTTGGAATATTTTCAAGTCTAAACAAATTATTCCATTTTTATCACAAATATACTATTCACAAAATGGTATGTTATTCACAAAATGAATAATCCCATTCATATTGTTCTATAGCTTGCTTTTCTTGTTTTGCAATCTATTTTTTTGTTATTAATATTTCAAAATTTTAGAGGGGCACAAATGTTTAGGTTACATAAATTGCCTTTGCACCGCTTGAGTCAGAGTTTCAAGTGTGCCCATCCAGACCGTGCGCCCTACACCCCATTAGGTGTGAATGTACCTATCCCCGCCCCCCCCCCCAGGCTTTTAGAGGATGGAATGAGGACATGGATATGTGTGACAACAGGCGCCTAATGCATAGCTAGGGATCCATGAGTGAAAGTGATTGTTACTATTATTAGCAGTTTATCTGAAGGGAGGACCATTTCCCCTTGAGAGTCTATGCTTAAGCATTCTTTCCTTTGCTGTGGTTGGGCTTTGGAATCAAAAACAGGAAGAGGCCGAGCGCATTCAACAAAACGTGCCTTAAAATAATAGAAAACATTACAAAAACACTGCTGAAGTTTAAAAAAAAAAAAGAAGGAAAGTGAAGAACATGAACTGTAATTCATTACTCATCACAATAGAAAAATCACTGGGGAAAATTCTAGAAGAAGCTACAACCCTGATTAAGACAGGATTTTCCCCCCAGTATTGAGGAATGGAGATCTAACTCTATTTAACTGGAGGAATTTAACTCTATTTCTCTATGTTAAAATCACTTGAAGGGATCTTTCAAAAATCTCCTGTGTCTATATTTTCCTTAAAAATTACCATTTGGTTTCCACATGGTCCTATAACACGAGAGGGCTGTGAGTGAAACAAGGTCAGAGTGAGTTCAGTGGTGAAATAGGTCACAAGAACTGTCAGTCACAAACAGAACATGACAGTGATAAAAAGAAACCCTGAAGTTAAGAGTAAAGAACATCTCATTTCTTATCTCTGCAGAGTTCAATAATGTCACTTACTCGTGCCGTGTCTCTGTGGACTCTCTGGTGTCTTCCGGCCTGGGTCTGTGGCTGCACTTGGGTTTATGCGATGAGTAATGATGGTCACAGCCAATGAGAGAAGGGACAACCACTTCCACCTAAACCCTTCATCTCTTAGATGAAATCATGCATGCAAAGAGTTCAGGCTGCAAAGACGTCTGGTTATTCCTGGCATGTTATAGGACTTCTGTGTGTAAATAACCCAACATATTTACATACGGGGTAAAGTCCAACAATCATAGATGCTTACGTGATCCCTTTTGTTACATATGTTCTTTCATTTCACCGTATGCTCCAGAGAATGAAAAAACGTGAGTGCAATTAAATCCTGCTTTACAAATATGCACATGGCTCCCTTCTTCCTTTTATTCTTTTTTTATTTATTTTTTGGGGACAGAGTCTCACTTTGTTGCCAAGCTAGAGTGAGTGCTGTGGCATCAGCCTCTCTCACAAGCAACCTCAAACCCTGGGCTAAGCAATCCTGCTGCTCAGGAGTCCTGAGTAACTGGCACTACACATGCCCACCATGCCCGGCTAATTTTTCTTATATATTAGCTGGCCAATGTATTTCTTTCTATTTATAGTAGAGACGGGGTCCTCGCTCTTGCTCAGGCTGGTTTCCGAACTCCTGACTTGAGCAATCCGCACCTCAGCTCCATAGTCCTAGGATTACAGGCCATCCCTTCCTTCCTTTTAAAAAGTCTCCCTGGCAGAATCCACTCAGGTGTCTCATCCTTTACCTGCTGTATGTTTCTTCATCACAGTGGCTGACAATACAGCGTATTTTTTTTTTTTTTTAGTCCTCGCTAGTAGAATGAAAACGCCACACAGACAGGCACTTCATTGTTGAGTTTTTGTTTTCATCCCCAATACTAAGAAGAGTGCAGGCATGTCGTAGGCACTCATATATGTTTGATGACTGAATGGCCCTCATTTATATTTCCCCACCAATTCAATTTTTGCAAGAACTCTAAATTGGCCTTGCTGCTGGTTATTTCATTTACACTCATTTCTCAGAGGAGCTGCCACTTGCTTAAAGTAAACCCAGTAGGGAAAGATTCCAATACATCTTGTTGATAATCCTTATACAAATTAGTACCAATGCCTATGTGTCTTAAATTTTATTTTTTCACTCCTTCGTGCAAGAGTTAATTCCAACTATGATAGCAGGAACAGGCTTGTGAAGCAATCAGCAAACATACCTGTGTCGTGCATGCTGAGCCCTGAGGAAATCCACAAAACATTTTACAACAGCTGGTTTTTACTTCGCAAAAATGACACCGCATAGGCAGCAATAGCAACCTGTCCATTATGTCATCAGTTCTTATTTTCTCAGTGTTTTTAACTTTGAAAAATATGTGGACCTCCATGTATTATTATGGAAAAATAATACAAGAAATAAAATACAAGTCTTAGTTTGTAAAAGTTTTGAGCAGACACAAGAGCAGCCTTAGCCACCAAAAAGAATATTATGCTTATGTCAAAATCAATGCAAATGGAGGGGGGGTAAGAGTATATTGAAGTTAACACAATGTACTTATTATCTTCACTGAGTTTGAACTTACTCTTCAAAAGATCTTTTTATCTCACCCCAATGCTTTTAATGCCTATTTTATGGATGAAGAAACTGAGATACAGGCAAATTAGATAAATTGCCCATGCATTTCTTGATGGGGCAAGCCTAGCCTTCTGAGGACATATTTAATATTTTTATTGGCATAATGCTGCTGCTTGTGTATAAGAAACTGTTTATGCCGGGCGGGTGGCTCACGCCTGTAATCAGCCACTTTGGAGGCGAGGCGGGCGGATGCTCAAGTCAGGAGTTCGAAACCAGCCTGAGCGAGACCCCGTCTCTACCAAAAATGAATAAATTAATTGCCAACTAAATCATATTACAAAAATTAGCCGGGCATCGGTGGCGCATGCCTGTAGTCCCAGCTACTCGGGCTAGGCAGTAGGATCGCTGAGCCGCAGATTGAGGTTGCTGTGAGCCAGGCTGACGCACGCACTCACTCTAGCCTGGGCAACAAAGTGAGACTCTGTCTCAAAAAAAAAAAAAAGAAACTGTTTTAGCTAAAAAAAAAAAAAAAAAAAAAAATCCAGGTATGGCCAGGCGCGGTGGCTCACGCCTTAATCCCTGCTCTCTGAGGCCAAGGCGGCGGATGCGCTCAAGGTCAGGATCGAAACCAGCCTGAGCAAGAGCAAGACCTCGTCTCTACTAGAAATAGAAAGAAATTAATTGGCCAATAATATATATAGAAAAAATTAGCGGACATGGTGGCACATGCCTGTAGTCCCAGGTACTTGGGAGGCTGAGGCAGGAGGATTGCTTGAGCCAGAATTGATGAGTTGCTCGTGAGCTAGGCTGACGCCATGGCACTCACTCTAGCCTGGGTAACAAGTGAGACTCTGTCTCAAATAAATAAATAAATAAATTAAATTCAGGATGCAAGAATAGTGCTTTTCTCATTTTCCATAACAATTTTCTGCCTTACAACATATTCTTTTGACTGAGGGACAAAGTAACAACATCATCTATTAGGGGAGGAGCAGTCATCTGATCTGTTGGTCACTGATCAAACACGTTGTCCTAGCGGCCACCCATTTCCTCGTGTGCCTGGCTTCGTGCAGCAGAGCTCTCTGCTGCTTTGTGGTATCCTCAGTCTGCCAGGTTCTTGCCCCATCTGCCAGTTTAACTCTTTACAATGCTGCCTAATAGTCCACCCGACCCCATACCCAACAAAGCCATTTCCTCTCCGTGGTCTTACTCCTCCCTGGCAGCACGAACTGGTCCTTGACTCCTGGGTTCCAGGAACGAACAGAATCCGCTTTGCCTCATCCTGGCCCAGGTGAGGATGCTTGAAATCTCCCAGCCTTTGCACTCTGGTGGCACTTTGGACAAGTAACTTAATCTCTCTGTGTCTCACTTCCTTCATCTTTAGGTGGAGGTTTATTCAACAAAATACTTATGGTATCCAGTCTTTGCCAGGATACAGCAGTAAACAAAAGCGACAAAACATCTTCATGAGATTCTAGCAATAATTACTAATAACTCCCATGACTTTTTTTTTTTTTTTGAGACAGAGTCTCACTGTCGCACAGGCTAGAATATGCCGTGGCTCAGCCTCGCTCACAGCAACCTCCAACTCCTGGGCTCAGTTAAGGGCCTAGCTAAAAATAATGACAATAATTAGCCACTCTCCCCTTGTTTGCTTCTCTGTAATTGGAACTGGAACCACATAGCTTGTGGTCATCAAAATTCTTAGCTTTCTCCATAGATAACATCACCTTTTTGAGACTTAGGGGTTGTTTCTGAGATACATTCCAGCTCCCGAATTCCAGGGGAGCAGCTGACCCACCCCGACCAGTGGCCCATACCAGGGACTGACTCAGCTGATCTTGTGACCCCCACCTAAGAAGCTGGTCAGCAAAGAAGACAATTTCTAAAACCCTATGGTTCTGCCACAAATGCAGCCAATTAGCAGACTCAATTGCCTAAGCCAAACTGTCTTTAAATCCCTATCGCCCAAATTCTCAGGGAGGAGGATTTAAGAAATTTCTCCTGTCTCCCTGCTTAGCAGTATGAGGAATTAAAAATGCTTTGTCTACTATAAACCCTGCTGTCTTGGTATATTGACCTCCTCTTGGGCAGCAGCAGGCAAATGACCCTGGTTGGCGGCGACAGTTCTGTGTTAAGATTCTGGTGTAGGGAAAACTGCCCACACTTTCTGAAACAATCCAGAAACATTAAGTTAAAAAGTTGATCATGCTTGAAGATCTCCTTTACACCTATAATTAATCCCTAGCCTAGCACTTCAAAGACAGCTATGTAAGGTTCTTGAGGCTGCAGATAGACAAAAAGCCCATTCAGAACCTCAAAGAACACTTGCATTAATGAATGATTAATAAACACCCTGGAGAGAAACTTCCGCATATGCTAAACTTGTTAGGAAATAAAATATTTTACAGGGAAGTTCATAGCGATTTTGAAAAGTCCTATCTTGGATACTTCCTTTCTTTTTCCTGGGTTTGTAGCTCTTTTTACTTTATATAATGCTGATGTATTTTAGCTGATTTACAAGAAAAAATATAGGAGCATTCAATCCCAGAGGCAATTTTAATATGTTCATTGATAAAATTACAAACTTTCATAACAAAACCATTTAATTTTGACTGAGTTGATATATTATCCTGTATATTGTTATAAGAGCACAGTAAAATGGTCTCTGTAAAAGAAAGGTGACAAAAATCCAAACTCAATTCTCTGGAAAAGCAGTCAAATAGTAAACTACTATGCTAAACATATTTACAAAGACTTCAGCAGAACTCTTTTTAGTTAAAAAAAGGTATAGAACTTTTGGAGTAATTTTGATAAATAGAAAACTCGCAAATAAGGAATTACGTATTAAGCATTCTACAATTCAGTCCAAAATGTTGGTCAACTTAAGCTCTTACTCTTAAATAAAAGACATCAGGAATTCAAACATACTTGGGAATTTCAGACTTCGTTTTTTACATGTTTAGTAACGGACTATAGAAATGATCCCTGAAAGTATAGTCTTTTTTTTTTACATGTTTAGTATTGTGCAATAGTCTAGGAGTTTGAAAAACAAAGATTACATGTGAATTTGCTAGTAGCCCTTTGAGCCTTAGGCTCTCTTTGAGTTTATGCTCTTAACTTGTCCAGTAATAAGCCTATAAAATGTAGTGACATGGAGCATAATGTTTGCACTCCTATTATGTTGATAGGCTCTGTTGTTTTGAAATGCAAAAATTGGATTCAGACAGCAATCATGTGAGACACTATTGTTCACATAGGAATTTCTTGCATATATTGACATTAAATAAAAGCACTTTTTTACTCCCTAACGTTTGGTGGTAAAGAATGCTGATTTCCCACATTTCACAGTGTCCCTAGACATTTCTAGGTCAGTTCTGGAAAAGTTGCCAGGTTGGAGTTAAACTGTAGGACCATAGAGAAATAGGACAATTTTCGTTAACTGAGCAAGATATTGCTTTCAACCACTGAATGTTTAATTTTGAATTGGTAAGCTGGGATCTCTATTTTGGTATCGAATACCAATTAAATATTATTTCAAATTGTTGCCTCACATCAAAGCCAAAGCAAGAGGAATAACTGAAATATCCTTTGGGAGCTGTGAGTTTAAATTCCTTGCCTGGGGTAAATCCCTACCTGTCTCTAAAACCAAATGATGATAAGATGCAATGCTTAGCAGAACATGGAGACATTTCAACAAAACATGTCTACAGCATCAGGCCCCTCCTGTGTACTGTAAATCATGTCTCGATTACTCATGAACTTAACACGATGCGAATGCTATGTAAATGGCTGTTATACTGTACTGTTTAGAGTAATGACAAGGAACAAGAGTCTGTACATGTTCGAGAACAATTGTCGGTTGAATCCACAGGTGCAGAACTCACAGACACAGAGACCAACTGTGCGTGTCTTCTAGTTGTCAGAACACCCAAGGACATGTTCAAATAAGGGCAAAAATGCTCGCTATTTTTTTTTTAATCCAAAATTAGAGGCATATATAGGTAAAACCGGATGTCTCATTCCTTATCCAGTTCCACTTCCCAAAGATGACAATGGTCTGTTGTGTACTTGGAATATTTTCAAGTCTAAACAAATTATTCCATTTTATCACATATACTATTCACAAAATGGTATGTTATTCACAAAATGAATAATCCCATTCATATTGTTCTATAGCTTGCTTTTCTTGTTTTGCAATCTATTTTTTTGTTATTAATATTTCAAAATTTTAGAGGGGCACAAATGTTTAGGTTACATAAATTGCCTTTGCACCGCTTGAGTCAGAGTTTCAAGTGTGCCCATCCAGACCGTGCGCCCTACACCCCATTAGTGTGAATGTACCTATCCCCCCCCCCCCCGGCTTTTAGAGGATGGAATGAGGACATGGATATGTGTGACAACAGGCGCCTAATGCATAGCTAGGGATCCATGAGTGAAAGTGATTGTTACTATTATTAGCAGTTTATCTGAAGGGAGGACCATTTCCCCTTGAGAGTCTATGCTTAAGCATTCTTTCCTTTGCTGTGGTTGGCTTTGGAATCAAAAACAGGAAAGGCGACGCGGTGGCTACGCTTACCCTAGCACTCTGGGAGCCGAGGCGGGTGGATTGCTCGAGGTTGGCAGTTCGAAACCATCCTGAGCGAGACCCCCCCCCCCGTCTCTACTAAAAAAAAATAGAAGAAATTAATTGACAACTAAAAGATATATATACAAAAAATTAGCCGGGCATGGTGGCGCATGCCTGTAGTCCCAGCTACTCGGGAGGCTGAGGCAGGAGGATCGCTTGAGCCCAGGAGTCTGAGGTTGCTATGAGCAAGGCTGACGCCACGGCACTCACTCTAGCCTGGGCAACAAAAGTGAGACTCTGTCTCAAAAAAAAAAAAAAAAAAAAACAGGAAGAGAAGTGGTTGTTAGGCAACTTTTCTTTTTCACTCTGCTTCATCCTCTCCAGAGCCAATGAGCACTGAGCCAAGTATCTGCTTGACCAGGAAGAAGGAAAAGGGGGAAATGCAGGGCAAAAACCCTTCAAGGGGGGGCTGTTACCCCCTAATACCCTCCTCACCAGCACGTGTCACATGCCCTTCGAACATTCTGCACATCCACTTGC